ATATATTATTGGTTTCAAAATGTTTGCAAAAGGTTTTAATTCCCGGGATCCATGTGAGTAGAGAGTGCAGCACTGTACCTTGCAGCCGAGGGAGAGGTCCTCTCTTGTCGGGCAGTGTTTGATCATTATGGGCTGAGAGGTTAAGTGTAAGACCATTGAGGGTAATACCTGATGGGCTAATCTTGCATCTGCCGACAGTCCTTGGGATTTTATAAGGTGGCTTAACCCAAGGACCATTTAGTATAAATGTTGGGCCCATCAAGAGCCCATGGTGATGGACTCAGGGGTTCACTGTCTCCTACAGTGAATTCGGCCAGGCCTTGTAACAGAAGCTGGGCTGAACCCATGTGGTTGATGTGTAGATCAATGTTTGGGTCCCACGCCATACAAGGATATCCAACTGGGCAGTAGTTTGGAGGGTAAGTGAGCATATAAACTTAATGGGCCTAAAGTCCAATTCAAACTGGCTTAATAAGATTAATTAAAAGGGGGCAGTTCTGGGATTTAGATCAGCAAATGGGATAAGGGATTATCCCTATCCACTCAGAGAGTCCAGATCCAAATAAAGATTTGGATCAGGAAACTCCTAATTAGATTAGGAGGGCTGATCTTTATCGGCAGATAAGATAAGGGATTATCCTTATCTCTTAATGAGAGTCCAGATCCAAATAAAATATTTGGATTAGGAAACTCCTAATGGGATTAGGAGAACCTCTCTTTAAGGCTGTAAATAGGAGAAAGCAGGGCGAACCCTCAGTACACATCAGAAATCATCTGACTGACTGTTGATTTCCAGAGAGAGACAACATAGTTTGACTGCACTGTCTCCTTCTCTCCTGCTCTTGCTGCCATACCAATTTGATCTCCACCTGCGGGAGCGATCAAGAAGAGTTCTTGATATTACCTTTTGGAAGAAAAGGTAATCTGAAGTCGTGCTCACTAGCCCTCCATCAGATTCTTGCTGAAGAATTCAATTCTTGTTGAAGAACCATCCTACTGATTCTGCTTCATCCAGCACCGTGTCAATTTCGGTGAAAGCAGTCTTTGGATCTTTCCTTGGGCGTGAACACCTTCATTGGAGGTTATTACTACTTCGTATCAGGTATATCCCTCCACTCCCTTTTGGTTTCAGATCTGGTCTGGTTTAGGTTCAAGATTGATCCTTAAAAATGCAGTTTTCTAAAATAGGGAATGTGATTCCCACATGGGAGAGAGATAAATTTTTGAAATTTCGCCCAACCTTCCTGTAGGGTTCAGCCATCCATATGATGGATCTCTCATTCCTTCAAGAGACCCCATGGTGGAGTCGATACCATTATGTATAGGAACACTAACAAAGTTGGCCGTCTAGTGTTGGTGTTTAGATTGATTCTCACTACATTACACAACTGGTGGTTAGTGGATTTGTGGGTTAATGGGATGTTATGAGTGTTGGTGGATTTAAGGTGTGAGTTAGTTGTTTAAGTTTTTTGGATTCTATAAATTGGTTGTATTGTTGAGTTTATTTATGAATGAAGAAGGGATCTATTTTAGGAGGCTGAATGCCCTAGAAGTGTTTAAGGTGGTCTGACGCCCTCAAAGTGGTATTCTCTCTTCTTCTTTTTTCTCAAAATTTCCAACTGTCTCTTTAGTTTAAGAAAGCATACTCACACTGCTGGTCCTAATAAGTGGAAACTCCACTAACCCCCAGCTTCAAAAACATAATTCAAGTAGAATCAAGATTCAATGTATCAATACTCCCTAATCTGAAATCTGTAGTTTCCACATATCATGCTATTCAAAAAATTGATACTCTCTAATTCTTAGTGTTCCACGTATCGCCTATTTTGAAAATTGATACACCCTAATGAAGACCAATGTTCAAAGATCTAGATACAACCTATTTCATAGTATTTCATGTATCACCTATTCTGAAAATCGATGTGTATCGTACATAATAGATACTTTGAACCATGAGTAGAATACCTGCTCGGGCATGCTATCCAAGTCGACCTCATTCCAGGGGTGGGGAAACCCTCATTTTCAGAAGCTCTACTTGTTTTGAACAATCCCAAATCCCAGATGATTCATATTCCAAGAATACATGAACTACCTAAGCATGTGTTTACAGATTATGTTTCACATAGGAAGCCCATTTATCCATATTGCCTAAAAACTAGGTTTTTTATTTGACTAGAAGATGAAAAAATTGGCCCAAACTTTAGAGGCATTCTGAGATCCGCTTGAAGTTGCAAGAATATCGTTCTAGTAATAAGTAAATAAAACTTGAAGTTTTCAGTTCTATTTTTTTCTCTTGTTTTATCTTCCAACTTGTATCATCACAGCTGCCCTGGAAACCAGAGTAAAAACTAAAGACTGCTGAAATTGAAATCCATGGTTCCATTAGTGGCTTTGTTATTCTAACCAAACTCACGGCCTTATTTTTGTAAAAGACTATGGAACATCTTCCTGCTAGTAATGAAAAATGTAATCATGAAGCTATTGAAACCTAAAGCACAGAACACCAATTGCAAAGAATGCGAATAGAACAAAATAAGCGAAGAGCCTAAGTATCTAAACACTGAAGATCCTCATTTGTCTCCCCAATTTCATCCAATAAAAAACAGGTGATATAAAATGCAAGTATACAACTTTGTAAACCAAATAATAAGTTGAACCAGTAATCCCCAACTCAACACTACAGAATCCATGCATTAATGCAACCCTCTAAAGTAAACCAGTGGAAGCACCACCACGAAATGCATAATCCAATCGATGAACTAAGTGTCAAGGCCATAAAATCAGAAAATACAACATTGCATTAAGCTTGGGAAATAAAAATTAAAAGAAACAATCAAACAAATAAAAGCTCCAGCAACCGAACAAGGGCGAAATGTGATGAATCACGAAATAAAATACAGCCAATTGAAGGGGGAAAAACCAATAAAAGGGTCGAACCTGTTCCATGGGGAGAGTAATGCAAGCGGTGATAATGGCGGCCAAAAGGAGGAGGAGGAGGGCGATCCTGAAGGTGGAGCCCCGTGTTACCGCCATGGACAACCTTCGACGCCAAGGCCTACACTCCTCTTCGTCGTCTTCCGCTATGGCTTGCTTTAGGGAGGACCTTGCCCTCAATCCTCCAAAGGTTGCCAGATTTAGGCTCCCCAAATTTAGCCGATTATCCCCTTACCAGCACACAAAACCCCCCTTCCTCTTTCTCTCTGGTGGAAGAAAAACGAAAAGCTCCGCCAATTCTAGTAGAGACTGGTAAACAGGTGACCAATTTCACCTCCTTCCTTTTGCCACCGCCACTCTCTCTCTCTCTCTCTCTCTCTCCTCTCTCCAGTTTTCCTTTTACGCAGGAAGGACCCACTGACCCACTCCCATCTGAGACTTCGATCGCACGGATCTGATTAGCTTCCTTCTGAAACTGGTCATTTAATCGGACGACAAGGACGAGTACAATATCCTACAACCTTCATATTAATTAACGTATACGTGTACGCTTCCAAAAGCCATGATGAGACTGACCACCTTGTAACTTTGTCTATACAGAATCCGGATTTCGGACTCATCATCTGAGCATGATCCTACGATCCGAGGGTTTCCAAGGGGTGCTCACGGTTCGGTTATATTTTTTCAAATCGAACCGATGCAATCAGTTAATCGCGATTCGATTTTTCAGTTTTCTTATGCACTTAAAATTTAAAAAAAAAAATCTAAAATTGTTGGTGATTGTTATCGGTTTGTGGCCATGCGTTACTTTCCTGTTTATTTGTGATAATTATTTAGCTAGTTAGCCCCCTGAATTTCAGATCGTCTGGTTTTAGGCCTTTACAAATTACAAGTCCGATGCTAGATCTCTAACTTATTTGGTGATGCAAGATACACGCCCGATCATCACCATGAATAGGTAGCCTAGCCTATCAGGCTGTCATCTGCTAGGAGTTTTGGAGGGCTAGAAATTACCTCATTTTTAAAARGGAAATATCGTAGCCCAGTTCAAATCCTACATCGAGCCATGACGCTTCTAAGAAAGTTATTTCCAAAGGTTGTTGCCGACTGTCATGGTGAGAGCTTTAGAGGTGGTGTTTGGCGAAGCCGTAGAGAGAAGAGATGACAGAGAAAAGAGAGATACAGAGATGGTGTTGGTGCTTGCTTGTTGGCGAGGCGACGACCGGCATTGCCACTTGGTGTTGGTGGTTGGTGCGAGCCGCGTGGTGGAGATGATAGACGAGAAGTCAAGAAAAGAATTGAGAATTGAGAGAAGGTTTACTAGTTTAGGTTTCGAACTTGAAGAGACAAAGAGTAGGAGAGACCGAGAGAGTGAAACAGATAAGTGAGAACTAAGAGAAAAGAGAGAGAGAGAGAGAGAGAAGGCTGAAAGTTTCGATTTTCGARGAGACAAACTGGCAGTCACCAATTTGGTAGTCAAGCAGTTTGAGACGTTTAGCCTTTCCCTTGAAACTTTTCAATTCGATTTTCAGTGGTTGGTTCGGTTAACCACCGATTTTTTAAGCGGTTAACCAAAACCAAACCGACTGGTCCGATTAACCAATTTTTTGTTCAATTTCTATCGGTTCGACTTTTTAGTTTTTTTTTTTTTTTTGGCTCACCCCTACCAATCCCATCTAAGGGTGCAACTTGCCAACTTGGGCAGGTCGGGTCCGATTGAGGGTATTCAGGGATCTTATAAAGCAACTCTTAGGCTTGGGCCATGCCTAGCCCCGTGCTAAGCCCGAAATACAAATCTATGCTTAATTTAATATGATTTCAGTCGGGATCAAGTTGGGTCGAACAGGACTTAGCCCCAGTTTTGTTGCGCTCGGTCAAGTTCAAAGACCAAAAATACACAGGCCAATGCAGCCCTAATGAATAATTACGAGTAATGAGTAGTGGGTCTCGTTCTCCTCTTTCGGGTGATTATGGTTAAGCAATTATTGGAATAAGTGCACATGTAAGCAATTATGTGAATTTCCGGAAGGCACTAAATCATGCATGTTTTGTTTGACGAATAAGTGGTTTAAGACATAAGTATTTATTTTTCATTACTTATCTGTGTTTAGAAAGTCCTTTTTTAAATCAAATATACTTATTTTAAGTATTAGTAAGTGTGTATGTCTTTTGTATGTGGTAATTATATATGATAATAATAATAGTAATAGTATATTCAAAATTTTTATAAATTTTATAAATTTTATAATTTTTTTATTTTTTATTATTAAATTGCAAAATCCAAATATGATTATATAAACTCCACATCCAAATATGTGATAATCAGATTGAGTTGTAAAATTTCAAGTATCATTTACAGGTCTACTTGATTGGTTAAACTCTTCTTTTTGTAGTGTTTTATCTTCTTGGTGTATATTTTTTCTTTTATTCATTTATCAAAAAAAAACATAAGATTTAAATAGAGTGAATTGAATAAGGTGAAAAATAGCAATTCAACTTACAACTTAAACCTTATAATTAAATAGGGAGTAAATTCAAAAATGAGTATTTTAGTCAAAAGAAARTTTCACAATTTTATTCATATTTTTAATAGTAGTGTAAATATAGAATTATAAATGTGTTCATTTTTTGTATTTTTTGTGTAGAAGTAATTTTGATATATCATACTTATTTTTTGTTAAATATGATAAATATTTGATATTATACATGTACCTAAATGTTTTTTTTTTGCAAAATTAATGTATTTTTTATTTTTATATTTTATTAATTATTATTATTTATTTATGGCATTAAAGGTTAACGCATTTAACCCAAAAGTTGAAATATTTATTATTAATTTTTATATTTTATTTTTGGTCAATTCTAAATTATGTATTTCATAATAAAAATAATGTGTTTATTTCACATATTTTTTAATTTTATTAATAAAAATATCAAAAGTGTGTCTAATTTTTTCTACATTTTTTATAATTTTTTATATTTATTTCTATTTTAGAATTTTTATTACCAAACTATGACTTCGTAGGTTGATCAATTTGATTCGAATTGTTGAATTGCTTAATCATCACTTGAATAAAAAAAATGGTTTTGTTTTTTAGTGATTTTTAAAATATATGGATTTAGATTGTTAAAATATTGACTTAGATCTAATTAATAGCATTTATTAGTGAAAAAATAATTTAAAAATATAGGATTTAATAAGAGAAAATGGGATTTAATACCTCTAAGTATAATACTTAATAAGAGGGGATTAAATGAGGTGAAAAATAATAATCGAAGTTATATTTTTAACCCTTACAATTAGAGATGGATTAAATACACAAATATAGGCATTTTAGTAGCCATTGAAACTGGCATTAAAACTATAATAAAATGACTTTTATACCTTTTTTCTCAAACAAAGAAATAGAAGGTAATTTTAGTCTAAAAAAGTTTCATATTGCATCAACACTTTTATATGTAGTATAGATTTGTTTGATTGTAATGTTTGATGAGCCACTTAATAAGTACTTATATTTGTGGAAATGACAATTATATATAACGATAAAAGAATTGCCCAAAATGAAGGGAAAATGGAGAAAAAGATGGGAGATTCATGAAATTGGAACGATTTTCCATCCTAGAGTCACCAATTACCATTTCTACTTCACGTTGAAGCTCAATCGTCTTCTTTGAATCAAGGGAACTCGACAAGTTGCCTTTTTAAGTACTTATATCGAAAATAAGCATTTATTCACTGCAAATAAGCGCTTAATTGCCACTTATTGTGGGGTTCCACCACTTGTTCTAAATACTTATTCACGTAAGTACTTTAAAAAGTTATACTAAACAAGGGCTGAATAAGCTATAAAGTTTGACTTTTCTATGGCGCTTTTTGATAAAAATAGTGGCTTTTTTCTAGCATTTTTTGAAATTAAAGAAAAAGTTTATTGCACTTCCAACCTATCTTAGCCTGCCACATAATTTTCAAAATACATATACTATCCCATTTAAAAGAAGTGTTTATTTTTTCACCAAACACTCATAAGCACTTATCCTATAAGCACTTGTTTATTCAATAAAATCTCCCAAATGGGGGCTTCTTGATTAAGCCATTTATAAATTTGGGATAGCAAATCCAATGAGAGTTTCTCTATAGTGAGTCATTCACTAATAGATGCATATAAAAGAAGAGTTCCCTTTTGTTTTGACGTTACTAAGGTGTACTGATAAATATATTTAAATAATTATATTAAAAAAACTTTGACGAGGGCAAAATCCATCGAGGCAATATTTGATCCTAGCCTTTTGCAATTGTGCATTAGGAACATCTTCATACTTGTATATTTTTATTCATAGGAAGATATTCTTAATACATGTCTACAAGTGGTTGTGAAGATGGTGTGAGGACCAAATCCACTAATGTAGAACCCCACTCTTGCTTCATGAATTTAGCATCATTTTATATTCCATGGTACTAGAAAAAACTTGTTCTTCTGCCATTGCTATTAAGACTACCAAAACAGAAAATTTTATAATTAAAATAGAGATTATCCATTTTTATATTTTTTTAAAGGTATGAGCTCACTTAGGGGTGGCAAATGGGTGGGATGGGTTGGGTTAGGTGTGGGTAGAATATCAACTCACCCATATTGGCCCGCTAACCCATTTCCCACACATGTTAGTGGGTCAAAGAGGGTCACAACCCATTATGACCTTGACCCACCCTAACCCACCCATTTGACCCTTGATTCCAATTAAACTTTTTTATTCTAATTAAATAAAAACCTAAAACTATATATTTGATTTTCAACTAAAAACATAAAAGCTTCATTTTTTTCCAAAAAAATGAAAACATACAAAATAAAACTCATAAATAACACAAAAAAGGGTAAAAATATATGATTAATGCAAAACATCAAAAGTTGTAGAAAAATACAGGAAATTACATGAAAATTCAAAAAATGCAAAATTTTTCAAAAATTTTATAGAAAACTATACAATATATATTTCAACTAAAAATACATGAAAAATATATAAAAAGTTCAAGAAATATTTTCAAATATAAAATACATAACTACACAATAAATATTGTATAAAAACACCATAAATTATAGTAAAGCAGGAAATTGAAAATAAATAACAAAAATATAGAAAATGAAGAGAATAAAATATAAAAATTAAAGAAAAACTCAAATTTTGCAAACAAAAACATAGGTTTCAAAATCATGGCTGCATTTTGAGCCACAATTTCAGTTTTCAGTGGTCCTTGGGCGGAGATGAATGTCCAAGAGAAGGTGAAGACAATAAGGGGAAAAAGAAGAATAAGCGAGAGAGAGAGAGCATAACTTATTTTGTTCGTTAGTAGATGAACTCTACGCTCTAGTTGTAGGTGAGGAAGATGACGCGAT